CAGCTGGGACAGAGAAGTGAGGACTGCTCTTTTCCAGACCATTCTTGCCCAGAATGGCTCTGATGTCCTTTGGGTCTTGACAGCAGCAAAACAGAAGGAAGTTGAGACCTCCACGAGGGACTCTGATATGGGAGACAGTTCATACTCTTGTGCATCCTTGAGCTCCACAGACATTCTGGTCTCTGCAGAGGACACAGTCCTGGGGCTATGCTCATGAGCATTTTCTCTGTACTGCAGGTTCACACTGGAGGAGACCATGGTAGCCTCTGCTTTACCCAAGTGACAGTGGTTCTGCTGCTACATATGTGGGTTTAAGCTGGAGGGGCAGGGGGGAACTGCACCCACAAACATTGTCAGTATTACTCCCTCCCAGACTTGAGAGGTCAGCCCATCCAGAAGATCATTTCCTGTGATACAGTAAGGAATGGAATGACAAAGAGATCACTCGACCTCAGACTCCCCGAGCTGCACATCCCTCTTCCTGCTCTCTTCTCCCCGCAGCAGTGACCCCAGTGCTTGCTGCGGCGTTTCTTCCAGTGACATATTCCACCCAGTACTCCAACACCACGGACATCCTCCAACACTCTGCCTGGCCATGGTAGACATCCGTGCCCCTTCTCCTGCTATCCCGTGATGATTTTTGCATTACTTTGGCAGAGAACCTTACCTGATTATGTGACAGCTGCAGATTTTCTTGGTCAGAATAGTAAGAGTTGTAAGTCCTTAGCAGAAAACTGAGCTGCTCTCTACAAAACATCACAATGAGAAGAACAACTGTTTAACATCTCTGCTAGTGTAAATCGCAAGTGCTGCATGGCAGGATGCCACACTACATCTGTGTTACCCTCTTCATACAGGTTTGTTAATCATTAATACATGACTTTCCAGGAGTAAAACTTTGTCAGGATACTGGGTTGCTTCAAAGCTGCTTCTTTACAGGCCTGATACACAAAGGAAATTAGTCATGGACTGATGTGACGTTAATAGCACTGCCCTAGAATAACTTGGACTTTGAACTCTGGCTACAGTCATGAGGGGAAGCAAACAGGAACAACTCTCCCACACCAGCCTTGCAGATTTTAGTTAGGTTACAATTTATTGTCCCCACATGATGGTTTCCATTGAGGTTTTCTATTTCTTCAGATACTCTTACTTCAAAATGCCTACAGTATGCCTAGAAAGACATTTCAGTTTCCTTCTGCTTGAAAGATGACAGCTTTGCACAAAGTCTTTGCTTGGAGGAGAAAGGATGGAGATTAAGAGAACTTCTGCCAACAAGCAAGGATTATAAGCATGCCCATCATACCAGATTTCAAACAGAATTCATGATGCCATCATAGCATTCTGTTCTGAAAGCACTGCATTGAGGCAGGAAGGCCATATGAGGCACACTGGTGCTAAGGATGTTTAAAACTTGGTATGTCGGAATCATCACTGGAGATAATTATGCTTGTCTCCACCCTTGGCAAACTCACAACACCACAGGAGAACAGGGTTTCAGAAAATTTCTGATTTAATGGCTTTTCAAAAGAACCAAACGAAAGCCACTGCTCACCCCTATTTCGAGGCCACGGCCGCCTCCTCCTCCCTTTGGCAACTTGGTCTGGGAAAAAATAACTTAGCTACCGGATTTTGGCTGCGTTATTTCCAGAGCTCCTGGGAAATGTCAGGAGAGACTGCAATGTCAAGGTCCTGCGCTGCTGGGCAGGCTGTGGGTACAGAGCACAGGACTCCAGAACCCTGGGCAGGCTGGAGTCACTCCTGGCTGAGGTAACAGCAGACACAAGCAGCCCACATCATCCCCACCTTATGCAGAGCCCTTCTGAACAGGTAGGAAGCCACACATGCCCAGGGCCATCAAGAATCAAACTCTTCCCCACACCAATTCAACAGAGATTGTTTGTATTGTAATTCAAGAAAGCAACTTCCACTAGTGAAGATAATTAAGCACAGCAAACAGCAGAGAAGCAGATGACTTCTTCCCCGGAACAACCTTTAAGCACCAGACAAGGTGACTTTAACCATCAGGACTGTTTAATATACTGCCTTGCAGTGGTGAGTGAAGACAATTTGTTTCACAATAGTCTATTATTCTCATGTTTTTGTTTAGTATGAGATATTGTCACAGTCGAAACACAAGCAAAACATACACCATCTACAAACTCTTCTCACACCAAGTTCCACACTGACCTACTGAAACTATTTATGTCAAATTATGATCATAAGTACTATAACAATGCCTACATCAATTTTAAGTAAAAATATAACCCCACCCCCTCCAGGGCAAAAACAAAACTGACTTCTAGCACTGTCACTGGAAAACAAATCACACCAGAATGGCCCTCGTTAGGAATCACATTAAGATTTCAATGGTCAGAGTTGAATAGTTGGCAGTTTGAAATCTAAAATAAATACATGTCAGAGCTGCAGGAATATATGGACCAAGACTACACGCCAAGCATTGCACACTGCCTTTTGTGAGAAGTACATTTAGAGAGAACGTCACAGCAGGTAATGTTAGGACATGGGTTGCACCACAAAACTCCACAAGGTTAGCTGTATTTCCTTTAACACTCTGGATATCAATGATTTACTCTAACTTACTGCAACACCTCCTCAAAAAAAAAAAAAAAAATTAAGTGGCTTTCTCAACAGAGCCCTGGGCTCCAAACCAGCATTTTCAACATTTACTTCAAGTCGCTGTGCTCTGAAATCCAGGTAACAGGAGGTGAAAGCCTTTCTCTCTACTGTGCTGGAATACCCCATTGGAGGTTCTTTGGCTCTCCTGAGCTAGGAGGGATTGTATTCAGGTCATCCCAGCCAAAGGCAGAGTTAATACATAGGAATCAAATAAAAATAAAGTTTGGATCCTGCTTTAAGATGGGCAAGATGAAGCACATCTTGGCCTCATACACAGGCCCAATCCAGATGCAATATAAGATTAATGTGCAAGTAAAGGCATCTGTAATTTTGTTGGACATAGGGTTGTGATACACCTGTTGATCCTGCTTCTGAGGGCTCCAGACAGGAGCCTTTTTATACATGGCAGTCAAATATCTTTGGCAATCACTTCATTGACAGCTGTTTTTGTGCAAGCTTTGTCCAGGTAGAAGGTAGGGGAGATCTGCTTGCTGAAGATAGATTGGGATTAAACAGAGACTTGGGTCACAGCGAGGGCCTTCTCTTACTCCTAGTTCCTGTTGGCTGCAAAGGCTAAAAAACACAAGTGATATAGTTAAGGTTATCTCTGAGGCTGATTTTTTTCTTGGAGCAAACTGAGGATTTTTGCTTAGTTTCTCGCCTTGTCTAGAGAAACTTCCCATGAACTTCCACAGAAGATTGCACAAATCAATCTTTCACATTTCAGTCTTGCATTAATGCAACCAACAGTGACCAACCACACAAGCAATTAGAAAAGCCCTGGGGGAGAGATTTAACAGCAGCTCTCACTGACTTTTTTTGTAATGTCTCCAGTACACAAGGGCAAATGAGTCTGTCTTTACTTCTGGCCCCAGCAAGGAGTAACACATGCCTCAGCCTACTTATTGTAACACATCTTCACTGCAAAAGCCCAAAGCCTGCCCTAAGAAGCGGCAGAGCCCATCTCTTCAGAGTTACACTGCTAGCAGATCAGCAGCTCTCCTGTAAGACTGCTCCTCATGGCACAGCTTTGTGACAACAGCCCAACGCAGCTCTTAATGGAAGCCAAAGCCAAGGAACTTGTAGAACAAATCAAGGCAGCATTTACTGCAGATTCACCACTTCCCTCAGTAACCAAGGCAGGACACAAGGGAGCTGGAAGGTCAAGTGCCCCTGTGGTAAACCACAGCAGAGCCACAATTGTGCCCACTTCAAAAACTTGCTCAGGACTACTCACCTGCACCCTCTGATCCCCAGAACCCAAGGCATTAATCCATGGATATTTATGGTGTTACACTTAATATATCAGCCAGCTAAATAATCCCACCCCCTTCGGTCAGCCTTGCCATCCAGCCATTGCACAATTCCCCAGCAGCAGGCTTGCCACATCAGCAACATCTGCATGATGCAATCGGAAGATGAGTAACCTAACAACACATTTAAGGTATATATGAGGGATGACAGTCTCAAAATTGTGTTGGATGCAAGCTTGAGTGCACATGGAATGTTAGTGTATGTTAGTGATTCTTATGTTTGGGGTTTTTTTTTCCCCAAGGCAAAGAAACTTCAGCAGTACTTTAAACCATGACTGTAATGCAGAATTGTCTTGACCAGGATCCACATTTCACTACCTGAACAGGCAAGTAAGTAGGGAAAAAAAACAGAGTCATTGCTTCATCTGGCACACTTCCAAACTCATTTGTATGCCAAGTATATCAAAGTTCACACAGATTAATTACCTCTGACAAAAGCACTATGTCCCAAATTAGTAGCAGTGTAAAAAGAACAGCTCTCCAGAAGAAGGGGAAGAATGCACTTGCTCTCTGTGCTTTGGGTTAAACCCTGACACTCTTCCTTAAAAAGGGAGGAATCAACAGCACTGCTCATGTCATACATAAAAATACCAGGAGTCAAAGGCCAATACCTACTGTGATGCGAGACATGCTATCCCAGGCCCCAGCCCCGGGTGCCTTGACAGTTTGCTTCTTCCCACAGGAATATCATGAGGGAGGGAAATGAAGTGAGAAAAGAGCCCCCTCTTCCAGCTCCTGTGCTCTGGTCAACAAGAGAGAAAGGAGCTCCCCTAAAAAGGGGATGGAGCTATAAACCAGGTAGCTCAGGGTTTATGGCAACATTCAGAATTATTCCTCCCAGCCAGATCTAACTGTGGAACTGCATCCCACAGAAAACAGTCCAAATGCAATTCCAAGCTTCTTACAAGTAGGATACAGAAGCCCTTTCGCTCAGCACAGAACGGAGCCAGCAGCCCAACGGGTCTTCCTGCAAAGCCTTCCTGCTGTGTGGGGCTGCAACACACCGAGCTCCTTGTTAAACACTCGAACTCACATTCAATTCCAATAGATATCAAACTCTTCTTCCCTAACTTGGAAATTTATTTCAGTATTCTCTAAAACAGTTGTTCCACCTAATGAACAAAATCCACAGACCAGAAAGCTTAAAGCTCTGTTCTCTGAAATGCATACGAAGGGCAACTTGGTCCTGCAGGTACTTTACAGCAAGCAATTTCTAGGAATTGCTGCTGCTACAGGCTCAGCTCTCCACAGGATCTCCTTAATGAATAAATACAGAGCAACCTGAAACAAAGCAGCAAAGTCATTCAATGTTTTAATTTTTAAATCATTTACCTGGTTATGAACTTATCCTCATTGATGGAAACAGAAGGTAGATGCTGTGCTTTCATAGTAACTTTCTTCATTTATTCAGAAGAGATGAATCTAAACAAAAAGGTTAAAAATTATTATATCCACTAATGCCACAGAGGAAGATTAACTAGTAAACAACAACGAAGCCTTAGTTTGACAAGTGAAAGGGGCTCAGGCGCTCAAGCTAAGGGCTAGCTATATCATATTTTCACTACCTTGCACTTAACCTTAATATCCAAATGTTTCCCACTCCTAGCAAAAAAGCCATAAACTATTCCAACCAAGTATTTCACAGAACCGTAAATCCCCAACTCTACATATGCCAAGACTTTCTCAAGTAGTTCTAGGACTACTCTACAATTCCATGATTGTGCTTCACTCAAACTGTGACTGCAACCCATTCACTTGTTAGGATTCATCTGTTAATTATGGATAGAGCATTGCCCAGGGTCACCAAAAAAAGTAACTCAGCAATTCACCCTTAACCAGGTTTACAGAACTAAGCAAGAGAAGTGTTGGTCATCAGCAGTGTCCTGCAGCACACAGAGAGCAGCTGAGATATTAAAGAGAGAACCAGGCTATAATTAAAGAGATGTAGCAATACAATTTACAGATCTCCACATAATCATCCCAGCATATTGTGTAGGCAGCAAGCCAGACCCATAAGACTCCAACAATGCATTCTTCAGTAAGCTTAATTATGGAATCTTGGCTGCTTTCATTCTGCCTCAGGTACTAGAAGAACAGGCAGACTGAGGAAAGGAATTGAAGAGACTCAGAGACTGACAACTGATACCACACTGAAAAAAAAGTCTCAGCCCAGGAAGTAGCACCACACAGATGGGGGGGGAGGGAAATGAATCCCACAGAAAGCAGTAAAATCTCAAAAGACTACATTGGAAGTTATTATTCCATTTTTATTTCTCTTTTATTTGGGCATGATTTTTCTGTGATTTACTAATAACTCTGAATTAACTGTATATGCTAGCATAACCTCAAAACAGTTTTAGAAGTTGCAGCAGAGTTTATGTATATTGACACTTGAATAACTGGACATAGACTTCAGCTTCCTCCCATCTGTCAGGGAACAACACCTTAAGAGCAGCAAATAGCCATATAAGTCACTGCTATTATACAGAACACGGCGACTAACAAGCTTTAGCACCGCTTCACTGCTCACACTTGCCTTCTTCTCAGTAGGATTTGACCTTAAAATGATTCATATGAAAGAAAAAGCTGATCTCTACAGCCTGAGAGAAGTCATCTTTACAAAAAAGAAATCATCGCTGAACTCCCCGTTTTTTTCCCCACAGTGAATGGCTTTTACACAATTACTCACCTTAAAAACCTTGAGTAAGTCCTAGATGAGCTGAAAACCATTAAAACATTGACAATGAGACAAACTGGAAGAGCAGTTGGTGACGGGAACCACGTCTCATCAACACCTCCCTTCTCTCCCTCACTGCCCAATCAGCCTGGACAAAGACCAGCCTTTTCTCCGACAGCTGGCACGGAAATGCAAGAAACCCTTCTTAGATTGTGACCAGTTCTGCTTATCAGGCTTGTACGAAACCTTTCCACACCACCAGCTTGCCCCAGAGATAAAACACTTCATGGACCCTTCCCATAGGTGCATTTTGGCTCCACACATCCTGCCGCCCTTATTTTTAGTTAACCCTGAAATCTGTGGGTTGAGAACACGCAGCTCCCCAGCACAATTATTTGACACCACAAATGACAGAATATTGACACTGGCACTCCATAAATCCACAAAGCTGTCACATATTCTGTCACATCCTGGTATTTTTTTGCTTTCTTGAACTACAAGGAAGTGCCTCAGAAAACAAGTGAAATGTGCTTTTTCTGTTGTTTCTTTGATTTGAACTCCCCAAAAGCACAGATTTCCCAGCTCTACAAACAATATATGGTTGTGGCCATCTATTCAAAGCCTTGCTTGGTGTCAGACCATCATTACATCAATCTGGACTAGAACGGCACAGTTCCCTCAGACAGGTAACACCCTGAACATGGGACCTGAGACTTAACTAAAAATAAACAATGCTCAGAGGAATACTGAAGCCTAACATACTTTTGGGAGGAAAGAAAGGAAACAGAGGAGTAAACAAGAAGTGGTGCAGATGGAAAATGGGCAACTGTAGAGAAAAACTGCAACTACTGGAAGAGTCAAAAGGCAAGGGGAAAAAAAAGAGAACTGTGCAACCCCAAAGCTGTGAGAGGATCAGCAATCACATCAGGGCACAGCACAGATCTCACAAAGGTAGCGAGATTGACTTCTCTGTACGATTTACATCCTATCTGAAGTTTTGGTTTTTTCCTCCAAGAAAAACTGAAAGTGTTAGTTGAGAGCCAGAGGAGAAGACTAGATTAATTTTATTACATACAGTGATCTTTAAATTATGTGCATGAGGGGACAGCAAAAGGACAGGCCAGCGGAGGAATTACAAGGCAAAAGTAAGAGCAAATGGCAAGGCAGAGTTTTGCAGCAGGATAATAGGAGGCAGCCGTGGAGGATGGCTGGAAGGAGAGGGACACTGTACATCTGGAGCTCAGCCAAGCAGGAGCACCCAAGCAGCATTTTCACCTTCATCTAACAGCCTGGATGCACTTCTTGGTGCATCCATATATTACAATGGGGACTGCAGAAGGAGCAGTGCTTCTACCTCTTAAGAAGCCTCCCCAGGAATATCTAGGTATTTTTAACCCAGTGCTTCCCAAAAGCTGTTCCAAACCCACAGGAAGTCAGGAGGGGGCAAAACTTCTTAGTTTCTCCTATAGAAACCATGAGGCTCAGCTGTTTAACTCCTCAGCTATTGACAACACAGACATCTAACACACTGTACAGCACAAAGCTTTGCACTGTAGGCACAACAGCACAGAAACCCAAGTCACTTTCTAACCTCAGAAGTGTCTGGTATTCAGCAAAACTTTGGGTCACCATCTGGCTCTATGAAATATTCGTTTAGGATTTACTCACATACATAAATACAGTATCATCAGAATAACTTCATCAGTCTTCACCTAGTCACAACCTCTAGTTATGAGCCTTCACATTTATTTTCATGAGTTATATGTCTTCACCACCAAAGCAAAGCTCTAATCAAAAGAAAGCACTTATTCCCAACACCTGCATTTTCCCCACTGAAAACATGGGGATTTTTTTTCTTTTTATAATTTGTCTTGTGGACTTCATTACACTGTTTAAAAAATGAACTGCTACAGTGCAGAGCAGTAACAACACTACTTGAATGCACAGCACAGCGTAAGCCCTCTGCTCAGACAGGTTCAGAATGGGCTTTGATTACTGAAAACAGAAGTGAATTGGTATTTACCTGTGAATTGGGCCCCTCAACTTTCCAAGTCACCAACAAAGAGATACACAAACTCCATCCCTTCCCACAATGAGGATAGAGCAGGGCATGCACCAAACTGATCTCAAACACCAAGCAATCCATCAGTCTGAGGAGAAGTTACTTTCTATCTCAGGTCACTCAGGGAACATAGCTTTTACCCGCCAAGAAGAACAGACAAGGTCACTGATGCAACCTTTACAACCACACCAGTGCTTGAATGAAGGGTAGGGAAGGTTTCTGCCCATGCACACCCTGAGCAACAGCACTGCCCCTGCTGCCTGTTCTCATTGCAACCCTGATCTGCACAAGCTGCCTGGAGATGGAAGAACAACTTGGATGAGAATTTCTGACCGAATATTTTCCCTTTCCTCCAGCACCCTAATTACACAAAAGGAATTTGGCTCAATTTCTGGGTGACTGCAGAGGACCTTGCTTTCTACTGACACTGCACGTTACACAGCAAGCAGAACAGCTCCAGCTTCACATTTCACTTACCTGTGCTACGATCAGAGGGGAAGTTCCACATACCTTTCACGGAGCCCTGGAAGATGCATGACAGCATTGTGCTGGCTGACCACTACTTCTGACACTTCATGGAACCCACAGAGCTGTTAATGACTGTTTTGCTTCAACTGGGAAGCCTAGGACACTCCCCACACCTCAGTGCATGTCGGGAATATTTACCTACCCACCTTCCTTCCTCCAAGCGCTGGCAGGAGCTCTCCCTCAGTCACGGTTACACCTACATGGAGACTCCAGTTAACACTTTAATCACTAACTTCATAATGAGAGGTACCCTGCTGACTCTTAGTAATAACTTGTTGACAGGGAAATTATTAACCCTGAGTAATCCTGTGCCGAAAGCACTGTTACGCTTTAACCTCGTCTTGTCTTCCCACTAATTCACAGGATAAAGTAATTTTTCCTTTTCCAGGTATAAGCCCATCTTTAGTGTTTGGTGAAATAACTGATACATGCTATCAGATCACATCTAGGTATAGATACATGAATTTATAACATTGACAGACATTGTGACTGCACAGCTCTGTCACAACCACATCCAGCTGTGTAGTCAACATTTTGCTTAACCACATAGCCTTAGGAACATGACTTATTGGGCAAGGGTTGTGTCTGTAAGACAGAACACTCTGCTGCTTAGCTGAGCTGCTCAGCAGCTGGTTATACAAGCAGATATTTAAGCTGTAAAAACTATCTGAACCAACACACACCTTCCAGGTTTCTCCTGTTTACACACACACCCCCCACCCCCGCCCCCCCCCTCCCCATTTATAGGAAGCTATTTAGTCACAGGATCAAGCCTAAAACTGGATGTTATTGGGCCACAGAGGGAAAAGCATGAAAAATACTGAGCTTGAATTTGCCTTCTTACCCATGTTCCTGCACGGAGATGTCTCTCCAGCCCCTTCTGCTTTATATAACTTTATGTTAGGGAAAGGGAGAATCAAGCCATATCTGACTCCTGATGACATCACTATGCTTTAGTGTAGTCCTCTCAAGAGCCAGACTCCCCTGTGTACTCAACACACCACACTTGATACTGGGGATTAGAGGTTATGTTGCAGTTTCCAGCTCTGCACCATAGAAATGTAAATAAGGACTTAATTTGGTTATATAACATTTAGAAGTCTCTCAAAACACAGAAAGGAGTTAACACACAAGCA